AAGACTTTATCTTTAATCCTTCTAATCGCCCCGCTAATACTCTCAGGCCAGCAGCGGAACGTTGATACCACTACGAGACTGACGGGGGCTAGGGGTTTTTGAAAATCCGGGTTTTGGGGTCGGTGAAAGTAGGCTTGACCTTCGGATTTTCATTCGACCTGAGTAAAATAATAGGAAACTAAACATCAGAATTGAGGTAAAATAGAAAGTTCGCAGTTTAATGTTAAGTGCTTACCTTCTGAGCATATCAGTAGAACGATTTGTGTCACAGTTGGACAAAGAAGAAATGAAGTAACTGATCGAATAAGGTGAACACCCCTTCAATGAATGACTACTGCTTGCAGATCAGCAACCGGTGAAGCGTGGCAAGAAGTAATGCTGTCCTGTTCGGATCGTGAAGAAGTGCGTTGCGATCCGCTTTCCGATGACTATAAACGAGATCGAGAAGCACGTTGTGGAGTGAATTTCGCCTATCCTTACTTCATCTCCTTCTTCATGCTTTGCTCATTTTTGGTGAGTCTAGCTACGACGTTTTATCCTTTCTCCTATTTCTATTCGCTACGTGATTTTCTTTGCTATCGGAGTCAAGTAATCCGTAGAGTCCTTGTAAACAACGTCCCAGGGGTCTGTACCGGTAGTTTATTACTCCTAATTGGTCTCTCGAAAGTATTGTTTGTTACAGGTCATCAATCTGTTCGTGGCTGTCATCATGGACAACTTTGACTATCTGACTCGTGATTGGTCAATTCTTGGCCCACATCATCTCGAGGAGTTTGTCCGATTATGGTCCGAATACGATCCCGATGCTAAAGGTAAGGCTAGAAACCACCTTTCACCTTTTCTCGGCACCAGCAGCACCTATTACCGATCACACTCCAGAAGTCTCCCTTTAAAGGAAAATAAAAATGAGTTCCAAGGGTTGAATTAGTATTTCAAGTTTGACTTCTTACGGTAAAACCAAGCCAAATAGGAATTTTTGCCAAATGTTAGGCTCCCTCCCGACATTCTTCCCCATGAATTCATATGGGTCGGGAAGGGATATACAGAAGCTTTCAAACATTTGATTGGATTTCTTTCGTTTTAATCTTCATCCTAAGTAAACAGTAGCCCCACCATTTGCATCATTGCACAGATGCAAAAACTTTCGAACAAAAATCCCTAATGGGCTATTTCAGGCCGTATTAAACATCTTGATGTGGTGACGTTGCTTCGAAAAATCTCTCCACCACTTGGTTTCGGAAAACTTTGCCCACATCGACTTGCCTGCAAGGTAGGAACAGATTCGTTACCATTGCAGTTTACAAAGTTGTTTTCGGGTTTTAATAAAATTCAGAAAATATAGGAATATGATACAGAAATTGAAGCATCTGTCTGAAAAGGCCAAGAGCTGGACTGACTATGAAATTAAAAAATTCTCCTCAGCATTCCCCGCTTGCACACCGCCACCATACGGGCGTTCCCTAACCACCAACAGACTGCCCTTTATTTTCGCTTACAGGCCCTCTATCAAGTTTAGTGGGGACAGCGTACAGTACCGCGGCGTGCAGATCGAACCCGTCCAGTGATTGTGGCATCATTACGGTTGATGCCCCCCTCCCAATAAGATTCTTCGTTGAGTTAAAATCATTTTCTTCTCCCAACTTGAGGGTATTTCAGCTTCTCTCTACATTACGGTCAGCTACTCCGGGAATCGCTATCGTACCAACTCACTTTTTCTGAATTCTGGCAGCTTCTGTTCCCTTTTGCTGGGGTGCCCCGATAATGTACACGATGCAAGGTCTCACATGAATGGCGAGTTATGGGCGAAACTTTGGTCTCGGGTGGGGCTCGAACCAGCGTTGTGCTTTCCGAACACATTGTAGTCAGTTTTCTAGTGTTTCCCTTTGCTTCACCCATCAGTTGACCACTTAATAGCCATCTATAAAAAGCATAAAGTAGGATTGAGATGGGAGGAAAAGGAAAAGACGGCAGGAAGCTTTCAAAAGAAAGATTGATGAGAATGAGTATCAATAAACTGCAAACAACTCTCCAGAGGTGAACCATAACAGACTAAGTAGCCCTAGCCTAGTCTTAAAAGGTTGCATTTCTAGATAGTTGATGCAAAGTCATGTATCTGATCTGCAAGGGTATCATTGACTTGAGCTTTACTTGTCTCCACACCTAAACCCGGGGCTTAGAGGAAAGCTTCCGCAATCTCGTCCAAAAGCAGCATGCATGGCGCTTTCTCAAGAATAGTAAGACAGATGAAATAAAAATAAATAATGGAATAAATAAAGATGAATATTCATACGATTGAATTCTGTATTTCAGCGTCTCGTATCGATGAATATGCCGCTAAACTCGGACGGTACCGTATGCTTCAACGCCACCTTATTCGCTCTTGTTCGGACCAACCTCAAGATCTATACTGGTATGTTTTGGTGGAGCACCTCCCGAACCTCTTGATTCCGTGGATTTTCCCTGGGAATGAATCTGGGCTAGGCCAATCGAGCCTTATTCATAAGCCCGATATCATCGCATATACAAGGAAGTTTTTGGGTATAATCCCTTTAAAGGACATCATTGCCCATGTTTGTAGTTGCTAAGGGCACTTAATGATGACAAATTGAATTTGAGAGTGCTGTTTGATGAAGGGAATGTTTACGACAATCCGTCGATTTCAGAGGGTAACATCGACGAAGCGAATGAACAGCTACGATCGGCAATCAAACGGATATGGAAGCGTACACCAGTGAAAATGCTTGATGAAGTGGTCCCACCTGCAGGAAGTGGGTTTTTCCGAGATTCTCGAGTGGGATACCCTGAATGCCCATTTTTCTCTTTCAGAAGAGGATGATGTGACCGTGGGCAAGTTCTATGCGACGTTCCTTATTCAGGACTACTTTCGTCGCTTTAAAAAGCGTAAAGAACTTGAGGCAAAAGGCATCATGCCTACCCACACACCTCAAGCTATGGCTCTCCAGGTAAGA